AGGGATGGATGGATGGATGGATGGATGGATATGGATGGATGGATGGATGGATGGATGGATTGGATGGATGGATGGATGGATTGGATGGAGAAAAGTTCCTCTGCAAACTCACAGCGGAAACGCCGATCTTGGTGCTTCTCTGGACAGCGAGAAACCCCAGGACGGCAAAGAGATGAGCAGAATCCCGTGGCTGAGAGACAGGATGGAGCAGAGCTCACCCCTGAAGCTGCAATCTCAGGGGGTCCCCGGGAAGGCACGGGGGAGAGGATCACAGTGCAGCAAACAGGAACCAACGGGTGAAGATGCTGGACTCCACAGAAAAGAGCAGGAGAGCTCTCCCCCACAGCTAGCAGGTCGACCTCCTCTCCACCAAGTAGGGCAGGAAGTGAAGTTACCCCCCACCACACACACACACACCYCCTCCCAGTRCTTAGCAAGATCGTTTARGTGGGGCATAGGTCTTATYGTCTTTAYTAATCRCYCACCCATCAAAMGGATGACCTGGCAGTGTATCCCAGCAACAAAATGGGAAAGAAAAATTCCCCAAGAAAGGAAACAAAAGGAGAAAACTTAACCCACAACAGTCAGTTTCAAGCTCAAGCTAAAATTAGCAAATTCAAATTAAAATCTCCCAGACGAGATTCTTGAGAACAAAACCATGAATTCTAAAAGTTGAAACCAGTCAGAGCCTTCTTCCAGGAGGTACTGAGTGGCCCTTAACTCCAACCAAAGTTACCAGGGGTTGAAARAGCTTTGAAGCCTACAGGATTGGGGCCTTAAACAGGCTAAAGCTCCCAGACACCGTCTAAAAGTTGGGCTCAGGGATCAGCCCTCCAGTGGATTGCAGTAAACACTAATAGGAATTTACTCAGTGGTTTTCAGGACCAAGTTCCTAGATCCAGAAATCCCTGCTGTCCCAGCAGAGAGAACAAGGGAGACAGATGTTTTGGCTGATGATTGCTGACACTCAGGACAGGGGAATCCCTATGTCTTCCTTTCATGGCCTTTTTGCCAGTTCACACATTTTTAAAGGGGAATGAACAGTTTTTCATGTAACAACATGCTGCTGGCATTGTTTTTGCTCRGTCACAAGGTTAGGTGCATAAAGAGCAGTCACTTCAGATACAACACTGAATGGAAACTTCTCCTGGTCCAACACAATCACATGATCCTGGCTTCCTTCTGCATTTTCGTTGCCCAACATCCATCTCTGTGGATTATCCCAGGAAAAGCAAGTTTTGTGTTAGTCAGTTGGAAGGAGAAAAACAGAAAGGGGTTATTAAAGGCACTGAACTCACTTCATGAAATGGTAAACAACAAACTACTGCCTTTTATAAGTAATAATAGAGAATGAGTGACAGCTTTGTGGGCTCTGCAGAGCAGAGGTCCAAGTTAACCAGTGGATAAATTGMCATGTTGGGAATATGAAACCATTCTGGAAGCTGTCATCTGAAAGGCAGAGACAGCAGGGGCTTCAAAGGGGGTGAGTTTTGAGTGGGTCTTACTGCCTTTCTGATTTCATGCTAGATTTTACATTTTAGGGAAGAACTTGGAAAAAAAGACTGGAGGGTGGGCTAGGGACTCAAAAATCAGAAAACACAGAAACAGTAGGTATGCTTTTAATCTCTCGTCTTGTGCACCCTAAGACTTGATATTGTAGAGCTGTCAATACCAGCTGTGCTGCAGTATGATGAGAGATGCAGATCCTGCTCAGAATGAGGTTGAAGGCTTCTCACTGTCTCCTGCAGGAATGTTCACCACACACTTTGCCCGCAGAGAAAAGCACAGCAAAGAATTCTCCAAGCACAGCAAAGAATTCTCCGTTCCACTCCCGGTGGGTTTCACACATTAGTCATGGAAGAGGGATGTTGCAGGGCAAGATTTGGGCAGACACTCACATGCCACTTTGGAAGGAGTTCCAGAATTGGCTTCATCACAYGAGGCTGCCCAATGCCAGCATCGGAACACTTCCAACCAACACCGCCTGGCTCTTGCTGCCCTCTCCCGGGATATGACTGGCAGAGCCACCGCCTGACTCGCTTGGAGCCCAAACCACGGCGTTGAAAACAGCACGGAGGCTTTGGAGGGTCCCTGTCGCCAGGAGCTGGATTTATGGCGTGCGGCAGCGCCTGTGACAACCACGGCCACCGATTCAGCCCATGCCTGGTGTTCTGTAACAGGACACAGGGCTCACCCGGGACGGATGACGCTGAAATTCCAACCGGCTCTCGGGATGCCTAAAATACTAACAAGCTCTCGGGCGTGCTTGTCTCAGCTCCGTTGTAATGAGGGGGCTCATCTGCAGGAATTGCCACCCTCACCGTCGAAGGCCTGTGGAAGTAAATAGAAGAAGAAAATCACACCGTACCCAATCCAACCGCACATTCTGCGCTGATGACCCCCAGGATGGATCTCCCGTCTCCATGAAGAGGCAATGTCTAAGCTCAGAGCCCCAGATTGGCTGAAATTCAAAGCTTCTGATGCAGCCGCTGCCTCGTTGGGTGGAGGGCAGCTGGGATCATGGTCTCTTACAAACCTCCATACCCCCCAAAAAACCCCACACCAAGTCTTTGGCCTTTAACAAAAACTGTCAGACTTTGTAAACCCCGTGCCAGCTCTGACAGCTATGGTGCCTTGAAGACATGGCCAAAGTGCTTGTCACAGCATGGAGCTGTGTCAGGGGAGGGCTAGGCTGGATATCAGGAGAAGGTCCTTCCCCCAGGCAGTGGCTGGGCATTGAACAGTCTCCCCAAGGAATGGTCATTACTCCAAGGCTGCCACACCTCCAGGAGCATTTGGACAATGCTCTCAGGTACAGGGTGGGATTGTTCGAATGTCCTGTGCAGGGCTAAGAGTTGATCTGTAGAAGAGACTGGTCCCGCCTCACTACAATCTGCCTTCCAGGCAGCTGCAGTCCCCCAAACACCCACCCATCCTCTCCCAAACACCCA